TAAAATCGGTTTTCACAAATTTTGAAGAGGTTTTTGAGGCACCCATTGGCTTAATAGGTGGTTGTAACCACCATAAATGAAAATTATCATGAAAGGATGCATTTCTTGGGCAAACACATCGAATCAAGACACATTTTGAAGAGATCCCAATGCATCTCTTAGAAAAGAGTCCTGAAAATATTGACAAGTTTTGAAAGTTCTTTTCTGGGGAGTTAGTTCAGAGAGATTTTCAGGAGCGACTTTTTATTTGCTTTATCATTTTTGTCATTTTATTTTTAGTGATTGTAAAAGAGAAGAGATTCAACGGAACTTCAAGAGTTTGGTGGAGGACTTAAGATAAGTTTTTATTTTTTTAGACTACTTTTGGTTTTAATTAAGACTTGTTGTTGGTTTGATAATGATTTCTTCTTTAAACTAAAGTGTGGTTTTGTCTTCTTCATGGATTCTGAGTAGTTTTCTTTATTTTTATTCTTAAAATGATAAGTAATTAAGTTTTAGATGGAAGTTGTGGTGAGTATTGATCTTTAATGTTGGAAGAAGTTGTGATGATTTAAATCCATGCACTTCATTTAGTTCTTGATTTGACCAATCCAGATATTAAAATTTGTTGTAAGAACATGTAAAAATCGGGCCAGAATTGTCTCAGTCAACAATTGGAAAGAATCACATTAGGTTGTATGAATGAGAATGTAATTCATATGATTGAGTGCAAATAAATAGGAAAATATTCATTGATGGGTGTAGAGTTAGAGGACTTTAAAGTGACAGGCTGAAGCCCCCAACTTGGTTTATTATTTTAGGTTCTGATACGAGAATGTTAGCCCCTAGGTGGAGGTAATCGAGGGAACTGTAGAGTGAGAGCTAGTATCTTCCCTGCCTAGCCAGTCTTCAGAACTATTCTAACTTTAAATTAGACAATGTTATTTATAGCATCTCTAGTATGAGTAAAGAATATTATTACTCCTATTTGGCATAGCACAATTTGCATACTTCCACAAAATAATTCCTATACTTATTACTGATTCATGATAAGAAGAAAGATATTTTCATATTAAATGCTTTTCTTCTATCATTTTTAGTTTAAGTAATTATCTTCTTAAAAATAGAAAAACTTTCTAAAAAGTGCATATTGCATAATCTTGCTTGCGGGTTCGATATTCAGGTCTTAATTAAAAAATCTTATATTACTTGATAATGATACGTATACTTGCATAGTATCCCAATATAAATATATATAAATTAAAAAGTTAAATTCTTATTTTTCTTCAGAATCAAGTTTTTAGTTTTGTTGCAAAATAAGAAAACATAAGTGAAAAATACCATCAGAACTATTGCTATACTGTGCATAAGCATTAAGGCATCCATGGATTAAGTTTTTGGCGCCATTGCTGAGGAAGAAAACTAAGTAAATTTTTATTTTTGGAAAGCCTTATTTAAACTTTAAATATTATATTTTATTTTTTATGTTTTATTTTTTTTATGTTACTCGATGCGTAGTTAGGTTTCGAAGAACTAGTGCCCTACGATTCTGAATTAGAAAGAACTATTAGAAAAATCAGAAAAATAAAAAAAATAAAAATCTTGAAAAATCTAATAAAATTACAGAAATGACAATCCAAAATAATCAAAATGCTGAAATTCATCAAGAGTTTAGACCTTTAAGAGATTATGCCAACCCTACAGTAGATGAACTTCATTGTAGTATTCAAAAACCTACTGTAATGGCTAATTCATTTGAGCTTAAACATGCTATTATCCAAATGAATCAAATAATCAGTTTGCAGTTTGGGGGATCACCACCTGAAGATCCAAATTTACATCTTACCAATTTTCTAGAATTGTGTGCTACATTTAAATACGATGGTGTTTCAGATCATGTCATAAGACTTAGATTATTTCCTTTCTCACTGAGGGATAAAACTAAGGTGTGGTTGAATTCGTTAGCACCAGGATCTATCGAAACTTGGGGTGATTTAGCACAAAAATTTCTTGCTAAATATTTTCCACCATAAAAAACTGCAAAACTTAGAAATGATATTACATTTTTTAATCAGTGTGAAGGGGAATCTATTTATGAATCA